TTTTTGACCCCCCCCCCCCCCCACCCAACAAAAAAATAAAAATAAAAATAAAAGAAAAATAAAAAAAAATTAAGAAATCCACCCCAAGTCGAGCATTGGATATTCCTTTGTGTCTTGATACAACTGAATATCCTGCCCATTCTTGTGTTAGATCTTCCCTTTGTCTGATAGTAATTACCTTCTTTCTTGATCAGGGAAGTGGAAGACTTTGCAAGAAGATTGAATTCAGATTGGCCTGATAGAATGCAAGAAATTCTTTCCCTGGGTCAAGAAAGGAGGATATTACCGGTGAGCATTAATGCAAATGATTCCTCGAGGAGATTTGTAAGTACGTGTGCTTCTTCAACTTTTGTTTTGTAATTCAAAATTTATGCAAATGATTGCAAGGCTCAATTCATGTGAGGTTTCCATGGTACAATCTTCACATGTTGATGGATTTTCTGTGCCTGGTAGCTGTCATCATTTTGGTAATCGACATTTCAAAATGCATCTGTTGGCTTGAAATTTGTAAAAAGGTTTTCATTTTCAAGTGATAGCAGGTCATATTTGTCTGCATAGGAAAAATATAGAGTGAGGCCTTAGTTGATAGAATCGGTGTGTCCCTATTCTTTTATATTCCTGAAATTTCGTTGATGGCATTACATAGCGTCTATCAGCATAATTTTGGATTCCTTCATTGAAATTCACTTCTCCTATCTGATTTACTAGCGACATTTCTGAACTTCTGTTTTACAGAAGTAGGGACGATCTGGAAATATCACAATAATTTTGCAAGTTTTAGTCATAAAACCGGTTGCTTTTGTCAACTAAGTTGAGTGGTGATTGTCAGATTCTTCTTCTGTAGCAGGAGCAGCTTCATCATCGTTCGATTTGTAGATAGGACGAACATAAATTTGCACCAACTCACTGTGATTTGTTGTCCCATCGGCAGGACTAGACCAGCACCAAAATTAATCGTAAATTATCATCTTCAAAGTGGGAACAAGCCCAACATTTTTTATGTCACAGCTGAGTTGCTAATGGATCGAGACCAGAAGAGTTGGCAATATACAATGTTGAGATTCGCATTCGGGTTTGATCAACACAATTTTGAATTTTCCATTAGAGGTTCAATTTTAATGGTTGTGGTTTATCCTTTCCGTGGTTTTGAGTTCCAGAGCAAAAACTTAAGGCTGTTAATTTATTGTTTATCTCCTGTAAAAGAACATCCACTCACAGTTTGGATAAGAGTTTGTATTGCTAGGAAGATGGCAATATCAAATTGAAGTGTTGTAAATATTTGCAATTTTTATGTTGGGTGGAAATTTGGAAAATACAATTTCCCTCTGAAAAATATTATTCAATTTAGAATTTCTTCATTTTATATTCAAAAAAATAAACTGTAATCTTTAATTTGGACCAAGCCGAAAATTTACACGTTTAGTTCAAAGATTTTTGTTGGCCTATATCGGTTAGGCATGTTTTACACGAAGCTGAAGAGTAAACTCTCCTTCAGTCCAATGGCAAGTTAAAGTACAAGAACGAGTAATGGTTTCATTACAACCTGGTAAATTCACATAACATTCTTCTCTATAATGCGTCTTCAAATCTCCTTTTTAAGTGGGGAAACTGGTTATAACATTTCACAACACTATACATTCAAGATTCAACATCTGTTCTAATCTACCCAATATCGTATCCAAATCTTACGCTCTAAAATAGAAGTTGGGAAAATGTAATTACGGTCTCATTCTTCGATGGGTTGAAGTTGGACATGGGGGCAAGGTCTATCGGGTTCTCCTCGGGTCCACAAGTGCTTCAAATCACCTCTCTTCTTTCCCAATGTTATAAATGTGCCTGGTACAAAAACAAGACATATATGGTAGAATCGTAACCATAGAATACGACCCTAATCGAAGTGCACACGTCTCATACACTATGGGGATGGAGAACAAATATTTTACATCCCAAATGGCTATAATTGGAGTAAGATGAGCGACCCTGTGACAACATTAGTCCCAAGGTAGCTTGCTTACTTTAATCCAATGCACCGAAAACCCAAGGGTTCATCCGCAAGGTTTGTACCAGGTTCAGAACTCTATAATATGATACTGATTTTTTCACTCTTGACTAATCTCTTTTCAATATGCCTTGTTACATACCTAGTGTGAAGGGTACGATGTAAAGCAAAGCTGGTTGGCCATGTCCGTCCATCATGTTCAAAGCCACATACGTAACAAGAAGACCTGTGATGAAAATTTTAAGATCGATAATTAGAACATTAACTATCCATATATACAAAAATCCTTTCAAGACATCTTTTGTATGCAGTATAATACGAAACTTTAGCTTTTTCTCTTCATTAATAATTGTGCAATCCTGCCTACAAAAGAGTCAATACAGCAAGTCAAATGGTAACTAGCCAGCCATGGTACATAGATAATGTCATTATTATGACTTGAGAAATGATCAAAAGCTAAGCAAGAAAGGGCACTATATTAAAAGTCAGCATTTATCACTATACCTGAGCCATAAGCAATCATTGCCCACAAAAAGTAGCCGGTCTGTAGGCTTCTTTTAGACAGCCAATCGTATCTGCAAAAGCACAGGAAAACATTAATAAATCTTGGCTCCTATAGATGATCAAACACATATCATATCCACTGTCAATTTATTTTAATATTTTTGATGCCTCATCATGAAAAAGATTTACAAGCCTTGTTCCCAAAAAGGTTGAAGTTGGCTACATGAATCCTTTAAAGATGGGAAACATATTACGTCGGCAAAATATAGACTCTAAAACTTCTTTGAAGACGACAAAATATTCAAAGATATTCAAAGAGCAAAGACTTTTGAAAAACAGTAGTGAAAAGAGCTCTATCGAGCCCAATGATTTGGATTAAAAAACCAATAGTAGACGTTACGGTTTATAAATGTTAACAAAATGAGAGTACGTCTAGATAGGAAAAAAAATGAGGCATAGTAGAGTACTACAAAGGTTCAATAAAAAAAATTCAACCAATTTACAGGACAAAAATTAAGAAAGCACTTCAAATAATTTCCAGGAAGCACTAAGATTTTGAATTGATTGTTATAATTGAATGACAACCAGAAATGAAGTCAGCTCAATACTAAGGATATTATGCAGAAGCTTTAAAAAATATTATGAAGCCATGAGAACCAATAATTACCTTTTTGCTCTTGTATTCGTTAATTATGAAAAAGAAAAAGCAACCAAACATGCAAGTTTAACAAAATCCCTGGCAGTCAAACCTTAGTGAAAACACCACTAGTAATCCTGGCAAGATTATATCGCCAAATCCAATAATGCTGTATCCACCCCAAGGATCAAACATTCGAGGAATCTTGAGTAGCATGGGAATGCCGTCTTCGCCACTTCCATCACCACGAGCTACCTACAGGAGAAATCAAACTAATTTTGTTATTGACCATCGTTCGTCCATTAAAACCTACAATTGCTCGTATACTCAGCAGGCTGCAAGATTCAAAGTAACGCTCACCACTATCATCACGCTCTCATGGAACCACCATTTGGAAACAAACACCCAAAATATGTCGTACAAGAACGCACAACTGAGTAGAACAGTTCCGACCTGAGCATGCCAAGCAAAGTATGAGATCAATTATTGTCAACCTGTCATGTCTATCAAAAAGTTCTCATCATCATATTTGTTTAATCTAATATTAAAGCATAAGCAATTGAAGTTCATACAATGTTGAAATGTGACTGGCTGATTGCATCTTTCGGCAGATGAAATTTAAATTTACATTAAACTTAGAGCCTTCTATTCTTGCTTTTATTCTTTGTTTGGTGTGGCATTTATGCGCATTTCCCGCATAATTTTTTCAGCTGCCCGAAATTGAACATTTCTTCCAATTCTTTTTGTATTATACAATCCATGCACATATGCCCTGTTCGATAAGCACCAATATACCATGCAATTAGCTAAATCCACTGAAGGGTTGGCTCCGAAGAAGCTTCTTTTTCTTGTGCCCCAACAAGAAGTTTGCCTGATATTCTTGTAAGTTGCAAACTGTTTTTCAAGAACCGTATTGTTTCTCTTTCTCATTTTTAAATTCTCCCTTTCCTTTCTTGATTGATTTTATATTCTACTTGTTTTCTTTTTTATTTGGCCAGGGGTGGTCTGTCACTGATCACGAATGTCCACAGAAGCTTCTTTGAGGAAGAGTTTTTTTTTTTTTTTTATTATTATTATTTTTTTAACAATTAGAAGTTTTAAGGACAATATAAAATCAAAATCTCTCAGTAAAGTCACAAATCAATATTAGAATTCAATTCAAGACTCAGATAGTAAATTTATCTAGACATAAGCCAAACCTGTATGCTATTTATAAAATATTTATCTATTCTGTGCAAATACTTTGTTAAGAAATGACGGGTTATAAATAAAAGTATATAATAATATTACATTAATTAAATGGGACTGACTGACAGTGACATACTATCAGCTTAAGCATTTTAATAAATGGTTAGAAGCAACAAGAATTCATCAAATAATAAAAGTAAAAATAACAACCTTGAGATTGGGAACTCGTACGATCTGAAGAACTGTGATTATCAACGCGATTCCCTGGTTTCAAAGGAAAAACGGAAGTAAGAATTAAATGCATGCATTAGCAAAGTCAACGTACATATTTAAAGTCAAATTGAACTCTTTATTTTACAGTCATCGATATTTAACAAACGACTAGAGATAGAAAAATAGTTCAGATGCTGCAATATTAGAGTAACTACTATCTCATTAACGATACTTGTAGAACTTAATGGGCATAATTCATTGTACGGAGAGTCGGGTTAATGTATGGCATAACCAAAATGTCCTTGCAAATAATTTCATGATCAGAGGAGGACCAGGGGAGGACTGGGCATTAGTTAGATTGTCTGGACATCTTTGCTCCTATATATTGCAATTCATAGAAGGAAAAAAAGAACATCATCTTTTCTGCTTTACGAGCATGATTGGCTCAGCTTAAAATACTTTCAATTAAGAAAGTACGTTCTCAAACTTGAAAATGAGTAAGTTACTTATTTTGGCAGTGTTGCCTGAGTTATGGACAGAGTATAAAACTTTTTCTACTATAAAAGAAAAGGTAAGTTATCAAACACGTTTTTTCTATTTATAATCAAAACACCATCAATGGCTTTTCAGGCCTCCACCTAAACCCGGGTTGGGGGGGAGGGGGTGTTTTCAAACATGTTTGGACACAAAAATTACATAAAATTGACTTTTACTTGTATTAAAGCTTAGCTCACGTGCTCATAGGATGAATTCATCATTAATCATTGCAACATGTCTCTACTTATCGAGAAACAAATATAAATGATACTGAATATTCATTCTTACAAGGATATCTTGACCAATCCAAGCAAAGGAGATACGCCGGAAAACTGCCCATACTACAGCAAATGCTATGCAGAAAGGAGAAACGGCAAGTGTCAAATACGATACAGCTCCCAGAAGAGGTACTTTAACATATGACTCTGCAGCGGGTTCAAACCATCTGAAACTATATTGAACTGTTGTTAGGCTGTGCTTTTGAAAAACTAAATCACTCAAAGATCTACAAAGAAAAATAGCATTATATCTTTCTCTTCGTTCCAAAAGCAAAAGCATCAAAACCAGCCTTTTATGTTAATTACATCTGAGAACATTTTCAAGATACTAACTATCAGAGCATCCCTCCCCAGAAAAATAAAGAACTGCCCATGAAAGATAAACAAAATAATAAGGACAAAATAAACTACAATTATGAATTTGCTTGTAAGAAATTGAAGGTGGGAATGAAGATTTTAACAGTTTCAAAGAAGACGTAAAATAAATCCTCTAATTTGTTTTATGATGCAAAAAATTAGAAAAAGAAGAAACTTATATTCATTAAGTATAAGCAGAAAAAGATACTAAACGAGAACCATGTTTTCATGTGTTTACTAGCATCAGGTTTAGATCAGATTTTTCCTAAACTACTTTTGCCGCAATCGGAAGCTCCATAATTGGAGAATTTGAAAATCAAAAGATTCGATGGAGAAATATGAACTAAGGAATCCTTGGTTTGAAACTTAAATATTAAAGTCATTAACTACATAACTATATCAAATATACCATTAGAAGAAGCATATTGGGGCGTTAAATCTTAGGATTATCCACTATGTTGATAACATCTAACCTTTATTATTCCTCAAAAATCCTAGTCTGTCCTGAAAGGAAGGAAAGAACTCTCCACACGAGAAGGGAAAAATGACTGGTAAAAATATTATCCTAGACCGGGAAGGATAAAATATGAAGAAACATTTCTCATGTTCCCCAAATTTTCTTCCCCAACACCGATTTAATAAAGAAACGCTCTCTCCATGTGAGAATAGGAAATAATGACATAGTCATGACAACAATGATTGGAAGAAAAATAAAGAATACATACCATGATAATAGTGCCACCAAACAAGTTTGTAGACCCTGACATCACAAGGCAAAAGATTCAGCATTCAGCTCAAAATTTATAACCGTGCCAAAATCATTTCATCTTTTGACCATTTGAACTCACATCCTGCTAGTCGTGCATAATTGGATTGGAAAAAAAAATAGTTCTGTCTCCCAATATGTTTGCGTGTGATGGAGATAGAGATATAGTTTAGATATGATTTTAGAATAGAGTTTAATTCGAAGTATGAATGTTTAGATTAGATTACTATAAGTTAGTTTTAATATTTTTCATAAAGTTCTATCTAGTTTAGTAGAAGTTCGTTTGATTTTAACTTCTTTTTAGTTTGTTTGCTCTATTATAGAGGATTCATTGTAATAGGCACCCTTGAATATATGGATAAATTGATTTCCTATTTGCCCTAATTTCTTCTCTTCTTCAATTCCTTTTCTTTTCTTGTTCCTAGTCTAACTGATATGTTCCTGCATCAAGGCGTGTCTATTTCCTTCCCTTTTCATCTTATCCAGCTATAAAATTAAATATAAGGCCATGAACTTATAATTTTCTTCCAAAAACAAAATACTGAAAACTTTCCCTGATAAGATATTTTTTTAGAGAACATGTGTAATGGTTGGCAAAGTACCTCTATTCCACCGATGCAAAACAGAACCACCAGAACCTCAATGAACCAGTAAGACATCAATTTGTACAGCATAACCAAGAAACAGGAAGCAATAACAACAAATAAAATTGCTGATGCAGTGTTGATGTCCACAAAACCGTTAGAGTGATGGGTTTCCTTGCTGAGATACTCATCCGAACCATCCTGCACAGTCAACCAAAATATATCAAATTAGTGATCAGAGAAACCGAATATTGACTGCAATTAGCAGAACCTTAATCAAATAGAAAAACAATGTTAATAAATAAGCAACCTTTAAGAGCTTGTCCTGCTCAATAGCTGCTTCTCTTGCAGTCCATGCAGACCAATAAGATGCGAATAAGATGGTACCAACAGCCATTAGCCATAGAAAAACTTCAGCTACATCTACCGCTGGTCGATGTGGAGAGTACATCTGAACAGAAACTAAAAGAAAGGCAAGTCCATAAGCTTCAGCTCAGGGAAAGAAACCCCATATTGACAAAATATGTATCATGTGTGTTTGGTACACATCATTAGACTATACTGGACTTTAATGAATAAGAGTTTACTTTCCTTTTATTTCTAACACTGAAAGTGTAATGCAATGACATCCAAACCTTCCTATCAAACATGCTAATAATGCCTAGATCTAACAGCTATAGCATCACAAATATATGACAAAAAACAAGAAGTTATTTTTCATCGTTGACCATGTTAAACCATGCAGAGTAATCTTACCATGAGAGTTGTTCCTGATACTTTGTACCAAGCTAGCACCAGCATCTTGTGGGATCATGACAGCAGGTATCCTAATGTCCACATCAGTTTCGTTGACTTCACAAACCATCTTGAATAGTTCTAAACAATTACCGAGCCACAAAGTAGGCCATGTCAGCTATTATGATGGCTAGAAATGCTTCAATATCATCACAAATTCGCAATTCAGTGGTCATTAGAGCAATTGGTTCTACAGCTGGTTCCACATATAATTACCTTTAGTTGGACTGTAAATTCACAGATTAAGAAGATAAAATTTTGAGGTTTGAATAAAGACTGGAACTAAAGTTCAAAGAGAGTGTACGTAGTTATGTAAATTATATTTTGTATAGTTATTGAGATCATCCTTATTGGCAAGAGTGATCGGCAAAAGTAGTATAGAACTAAAACCTGTGCGGTTGTTCACAATAAGTATTGCTGAAGCACCAGCAGCCTCTGCTACATTTGCTTTGGCAGTGAAACTGCAATTACCCCGGTGAACCAAGATAACCTCACCGGTTAGCTACAAAAAAATGGGAATATGAACTCAGGTATTACAATGCCTAGAGCATGTTAAGTACACTTAAGAAATTTACTTTTAAGTAAGTGCCCTTGTAAGTAAACAAGTAAGTTTCATAATAAATAACAAAATTGGAAATAAGTAAGTTAAGAGTTTCTTTCAAAATAAATATCGTTTTTCTTAAAAATAACATTTCCAAACATGTTAAGAAACAAGAAGTTACTTCAATTTTTACTTTTTCCAAGCTAAGTTATAAATGCTCTCAGGGATTTTTTATCAGAAGGGTCATATGGGAGATGTATAGTCATGACCACGATAAATAGTCCATCCAGAAGAAAACCTTATTTCGGGGATTTGTACAACAATCAGGAGGATCTGCAAGAGCAACTCTAGACTGGTTGGCGCGTTTCTCTTTTGCTTCCAAGGTGGGACCAAACCGAGCACCAACACCAACAAACTCCATTACTTCTTTACCATTTATCCAAATTGGTATTTTAACCTATTCCACAACAAGGAATTTTAGCTTCATAAACACAGGTAAATGCACAAACTTAAACTGTCATAAACAAGGGATCTCATCTCTAAAAGTCATCAAGATAACAGAGAGCATCATATAAATAAATGTTTCATAATTTTAGTTTAATGAACTAAGTGCATCCATAACAAAATTTACTGTGGATCTCGTGCTCACATAAAAATGCTTGCCTTTCATTTTACCATTTTATATTTTGTGAAATTACACTGTATGTTTTAGGGTATGACTGTAGCGGAGGTACAAGTTGTTAAAAAAAAATTTGAAAAAGAGAGAGAGCAGAGAACAACTAGCCAGACTATTCAAGAAAACAGTAAGTACCCTATTCCAATATTTCAAAGATAAAACATCTTGCTGATGCAATCAATAAGTCCTACAAAAGTGACCTTTCGAAAATCCAAAGAAATCAAATTGAAGTACATTTGAGTGGTATGTTGCAAGAAGATATTGTAAGTAAAATGCTGGATGAAATCCAAAAATAATAGAAAACCACAAAACTTGATTTCAATTTGAGAAAAAATTTAAACATTAGAAGCTTGGAAAGATATTATTAGCTTCATCGAGAGCTATAATGGGACCAACTGGATCAATTATCTAAAACCAAAATGTCAAAAAGGGTAATCATAGATATCATAATAGCTCTTTCTCAAACAATTATGATAACAACAATAACAACCACAATACAGTGAAAACATATACATAAAGAAACCCCATACTATTAAGAAAAACCTTGTACAAAGGAGTAGTAGACAAACCGAAAAAAAAAAAAATAGAGGAATAAATGAGTATATGATCATGTTTGGTAGCTTAAAGAATTACTTATAATTAAAAAGGAAAGTTTTAAATTAAATAATCTTCTTATTGATTGAATTGAATTGAATTTTCAAAGCAAAGAAAATGTTAATTCCAGAATTAGTGACATTTTGTATCTGAAATAAGAAAAAAATATAAGTTATTCAAACATTCAGAAGAAAATAAATTTTTCCTTATTTATAAGCTTAGTCAACGATTCTTCAAAAAATTGAATTGAATTGAATTTTCAAAGCAAAGAAAATGTTAATTCCAGAATTAGTGACATTTTGTATCTGAAATAAGAAAAAAATATAAGTTATTCAAACATTCAGAAGAAAATAAATTTTTCCTTATTTATAAGCTTAGTCGACGATTCTTCAAACACAGAGATAATATCAAAACTGAACTCTATTCATATTACATACACCAATATAAAATTCATAAAAGTATGCAATCAACTAAAAATCTTTAAAAGGTGGAATATTCAACATCGAAAAAGAAGAAGAAGAAGAAAGAATGGATTTTTACCAACACAAAGTTGTTATTGCAACCAGGTCGTGCTGGAGCGCTATCATCTTGGTGAACAATATCACCTGCAGACACCGCAGCAGAACTCAACAAAACAGCAAGAACTGTACAGAAAGTACAGTAGAGAGCTCTGTTCTTCAACTCCATAATCTCAACCAAAAAAGGGGGGAAAAACTCCAGAAAAGTTTTCTGTGTGAGGATCGGAGTACAAGGTCAAATGGGTTTTTTCTTATTATTTTGGAATATTATTTTAGAGACGTGAACTGGAAGACAGAACGCAGAGGAAATATAAGATAAAAAGATATTCAAGAGACGAAAAGTCTCAAGGTACTGTTTGCTTAGTTTTCTTTTTATAACATTTACACCGTGTTGTAACCGTTGAATAGTTTTCTACTTTCCCACTTTATAACTTCTACGCCGCCGCGGGTAGTGGCGCGTGTAGTGCACATCCTTAAAAGGTCCGTACACTTCGCTGATATCAATATGATGAAAATTGGGCAAACTTTCCTGTCCCTGTTTGAACCTATGACAAACTTATTTTCAGCACTGTTTGGATCCTTTTTAATGAGATTTTAGAAAAAATATATTTGAAAATAATGATTTTTTAAATAGTATATGGTTAAAAAAAAAAGCTATTAATTTAAATATAATATTATTTTATTAAAAAGTGTAAATGAAAAAAAAAAAGAAAAAATATATTAAAATTTTAATATAGCTGGAACATGGACTTAATTATACACCATGCCAATAAAATAATTCTACTCCTTACTAATCAAGTCCTTATAATCTTTGATTGACATGTGAATAAATACAATCATGCTGATTGAGTGATTGTATAATTTTTTTATGATTTTGATTGACAATACACACCTAACAAATAAGGCTTGTCTGAGCTACATTATTTTTAAAAAAATACATTTTTCAACAGTAATTTGATATTATTTCAACCATACATTTTTCAATAAAATAATATTACATACAAATTAAAAAAAATTCTTATTTTTTAACCACGTATTTTTCATTGATTTGACATGAATAGTGCATTTTTTCCTAAAATGTGGCTCAAACATGGGCAATATTCATTTATTTTAAAATTTATTTTTTAAATTAATAGTCCAGATTTTAACAATATCAATATTGTCAACCACAATTATCAACAATGATTATACAAATAGCTTCATTCAAATAAATAAATGAGATCCACTATCTTAATTAAATAACAACAGGAGCACTGAATTTCAAAATAGTAATAATAATAATAAAATAAAAAATTCTCCAAGCAAAAGTATGATAAATGATTCAAAATGTGTTAAATCCTTTACAACTTCTCATGATAATTGGTTCTACGTTTACTTCTTTATTATATATGCTTAATTAAGTAGTTATTAGATAAAATTTTAATTGATCGAACTTCAATTTTAATCATAAATATTAATAATTTATAAATTTATGATGATCAACCTAAAATCGTGTCAAGTTCGGACAAGACATGCTTTGATTATAAATATCATTTTTATATTTGTTGTGAAGCGCTGCCCTCGTTGTTGACATATACACTCATTTTCATTCAATCTAGTTAACACTTTCATCCCTAGTTTCTTCTCATTATGCTTGATTTGTGGTTACTTTGCTCCTAGTAAATATTTGATGCAAAATATCTTATCACTTGTTTGGTGAAGCTTCTTGAGATAAGTTGATAAATTTTATAAAAAATGTGTTTGTAAGTGACAAAACTTGTAAATTTGACGGATTTATAATCTCAAAAATGATGTCGAACACTGTTCAATTGATTAAAGTATCGACTTAGGAAAAAAAATCTTATGGGTAGAATATTCACATTTAGATGAAAGGACTTACATGGAAAAAATGATTTTGAACATAAAAAGTTAAAACAAAAAGAGTGGGGCTATGCTTACAAGTAGGTTTACAAAAAAGGTTAACAAAGTAACTGTTGGCAAAATCAAGACCATTCAATTCAAAAATAGTTTTTGAAAGCAACAAAATTTATTGGCCTTGATCTTGCCAACACATACTTTATCAACCATTTTTGTCAAACTACTTTGTACAAGTAGTTTAAACCCCTGTTTGATCCCCATTTTTTGGTAATGAAAATGAGAGGAATAGTATTTTTTTGAAAAATGATAGGTTGAAAAAGAAGGAAAAATTTTCGATTTACATGTAATATTATTTTATAAAAGATTGTATGGTTAAAAATAGGAAAGAGAAAAATAAAATGTAATAGAATGTAATTTAATGGGGCTGCTAATTGAAACAAAAAATATTTCTGGACTTTATTCGATATTATTATTTGTCGTGATAAGTGCAAACAGGCCCTTGGTTATGGGAGTAAATGAAGGGGGCGCCGCGTGTTGAGAATGTAAGGACAATGACTGACAACCGGGTGAAGAGGTGAATTATTTTTCGTATTTGGCCGTACAGATAAGACGGCGCTTTAAATAAATCGGTGTGGTGTTGCAATCAGAATCGGGTACTCACCCAGTTGTAATCACATGTATTTATTTCCGTGTGAGCGTGCACGACTCATCCTCAGTCCTTACAAGTCAACTATTATTTTATTTTTGGGAAAATTGCAGCCACGGTACCAAATTTTTGACTTATTAACAGACTTTATCCAAACCTTTCATTTGTACCAACGGAGGTATCAAACCTTTGAAAAAACCTCAGCTGGAGAATGGATAGAAACCGTTAATTGACCAGAATAATTAATTTTGACCAAATATAAAAGGGGCAAAATGGTAACTTTACAATTCTAACATAAGATGACTTTAAAAAAATTCAATAAAAAAGAAAAATAAAAAAATGGCTACCACTGTTCACCTCCTCCTTCACTAACCACCCCCACCCCTACCCCCTTCCTTTCCCACCGGAAAAATCAGCCACCAGCACCATTATCGCCATTCATCGACACCATAGGTTTATTATCCTTATCTTTCGAATCCCACTCAAATTCTAGCAAATTCTTTTCCATTCCATTTTCAATTTTTTTGCTGTAAACCACCATACTCGAGCCATAACCACCACCGAAAAATGCCACCTCCACTGTAACTTGATGTTGTGGTGCTCAGACAGCACTAATGACGTCTGACTTGGAGACTTGGACCAGTAGCTTTCGATGATGAGGCCAATGATAACAAAGAAATGACCTCCGCATTCTCCATCACTATTCTCAACATCTCTCTGTCCCATAGTCTAAAACCCCTCTCCGCTCGCCATTTCTTCTCCCTAACCAAACTAAATAAACAAATAAATTCATCAAAAACTAACCATATCCAGAACATCAAATAATTTCATTACAATGTATATTTCGATACAATGCCATTTTAACGTCTTTAGCCATTAATCCTTCAAAACGATTCCGACCCAAAAAAAATAAAAATTAACATTCTAAAACTGGGAACCATTTAATTTTCTGACCCAGAACGATTCCGACCTAAACGTAATGATGTTGGTGGTTGATTTTTAAGTTGTTTTATGTTAAAATTGTAAAGTTACCATTTTGCCCTTTTATGCTTGGTCAAAATTAATTATTCCGGTCAACTAATGGTCAAACGAATGGTTTCCATCCATTTGGACTCCAGCTGAGATTTTTTTAAACGTTTGATACCTCTGATGGCACAAATGAAAAATTTTAGCAAAGTCTGCTAATAAAAGAGAAGTTTGGTACCGTGACTGCAATTTTTCCCTTATTTTTTTTACCATTATTTGATTTTTACATTTTCAATAAGTATTCAACTTAGTCTCGTTTGGTCCCCATCTTTTCAAATTAAAATGAGTAGAATAATATATATATATTTTTTGAAAACGAGTGATTGAAAAAGAACGAAAAGTTTTCAATTTACGTGTAATATTATTTTATAGAAGATTATATAATTGAAAATAAAAGAAAACACAATAAAATTTAATTTAATGGAGGCCGGAGCTTAGTAGGGTATTTAAAGAACTTTTTGTTTAAGGTTGGTTCTATTTTAGAAATATATCTTTTTACTCAAAAGTTAGTTCTATTTTTGAAATATATTAAATATATATTTCTTTAGATGGTAAAGTTTTAGCTCAAATATATATACTTATCTTGTTTTTAAATGTAACGATGTATTTAGTGAGCATGGAATATACATGGAAATAAAATAAATCTTAAACAATTGAATTGCTTATAAATTATTTGCACATAAATTTTCAATTAAATGTATTTGATTAATTTTATTTTCAACTTAAAAAATGTTATATTTGCCCATTTTTTATTAGTAGGTAGATGGGGGATAGATGGTAGTAGGGCTGAGCAAATCTCACGAATCGAACATGACGGTTCCTATCAAATTAAATACCCAAACAGGTATCTGAATTAAGAACCGACGGGTACGGTTCGATTCTCGATTCTAGATCAAGAATCGAATAAGAATCGAATCTTTCTATTTTTTTTATATTGAATAAATCATATTATTTTAATTTTAAATTTTTCTAAATAAATTAACAATTTCTAAATTCAAATTTTTTGCGTAATAATTTGTTTCATTTCTATTTTTTAAATTTTTTTACCCAATTATCAATTTTATTGTTTCATTTTTGAGCCCAACAAGATCCAACCCACTAAATAACCCTAATCACCTACACTAAAGTGCATAACACTGTCTCGACTTTCGCACTCACTCTCACAACCTCGCTGACATTCCAAAATCTATACAATCGTCGGTCGACGCTGTGACCTCCGCCGATCGAAGTTTTAACCGTAACGATCATTTGAACAAAGTAATCTACTAGTATCTGACATTCCAAAATCATTGAATATGTCATTAGTTGTATTTATATAATGTTATTATAAATGTTAAAAAAATTAATTATTGTACGGAACCGAATCCGAACGGTTCCATAATTATATTTGGACCCGACGGTTCCATTTACTAAATACCCAAAAATTTTGGTTCGGTTCGATTCTGAAGAGAGAAAGAGAAAGTAAATTACCTGAAAAATAAAAATATACTCTCTAAAGAAATATTTTCCTTATTTTTAAAGAAAATATGGTCACACAATCAAAAATAGGAAGATATTATTTTAAAAAAAAATATCAAAGCAAAAGGTACAAAGTGAAAATTTGGGTGCAAAATATTGACAATCAAACTCACTCTAAATGCTTTCTTGACATCATCGCAATTGAATTCTTGCTCTCTCTTTTTTAGCGACACAAATAAGTCTAATCTTTCGTACTTATAGTATATAATCATTTTGTTAAAAGTTGAACCCAACCTTGAGGGCCCCCACCCCCTCACCCCTAGAGTTTTGTGAGGGAGGTAAATCTCGAAATGTGTCCCAACAGGTCAGGGAACAAGAGCTGTCTGTACATTGCGCCTAAAAGGAGTCCAATTCCATGTCTTAAGAATCGAACCCCCACATTGCGACTGTCAATAGGACGTGAGATAACCTTACTTATGTCCTTTGCACCACTGAGCTATGTCCCGGAGGGCTATATAATCCTTTTGTTGCATGTTGGATAGAATGTCTTAGTGTAATAATTCTCAATTTGCTTTTCATGTTAGGTTATATTTATACCTCGAGCTAGTATTCATAAGTCGAGCCAGATTTTTATTGTGTTTATCTTAACGTCTAACCTTTAGTGAATTATAACCATACGATCGAGTACCAATTCAAACATTTTAATTAAAATATCGCTTGTGGAGCACAGTCAACCATGAAGTGATAAACCTCGTGGATGGTGGAAAGTTGAGCAAAGAATGATCGAGTTCATGCATTGTCCACAACTTAAGCCCTACCAATTTTCCTTTTCAAGGTTTATTAAGATCCCCCTGACAAGGTTTATGTTTTTGTTTATGTATCTGCTTCTTATAGAAAAACTTTATGATAAAATTACTTAATTATATTCACACTAAAGTTTAACGTTGACGCACCACGCGTCACACTAGCATTAAGAAAACATTAACGAGATGTCAAGTATCAAACTCACTCTAAATGCTTTCTTGACATCATCGCAATTGAATTCTTGCTCTCTCTTTTTTAGCGACACAAATAAGTCTAATCTTTATGACAGGTCGTACTTATAGTATATAATCCTTTTGTTAAAAGTTGAACCCCAACTTTGAGGGCCCCCACCCCCTCACCCTTAGAGCTTTGTGAGGGAGGTAAATCTCGGAATGTGCCCCAACAGGTCAGGGAACAAGAGCTGCCTGTACATTGCGCCTAAAAGGAGTCCAATTCCATATCTTAGGAATCGAACCCCCACATTGCGACTGTCAGCAGGACGTGAGATAACCTCACTCATGTCCTTTGCATCACTGAGCTATGTCCCGGAAGGCTATATAATCCTTTTGTTGCATGTTGGATAGCATGTCTTAGTGTAATAATTCTCAAGTTGCTTTTCATGTTAGTTATATTTATACCTCGAGCTAGTATTCATAAGTCGAGCCAGATTTTTATTGTGTTTATCTTAACGTCTAACCTTTAGTGAATTATAACCATACGATCGAGTACCAATTCAAACATTTTAATTAAAATATCGCTTGTGGAGCACAGTCAACCATGAAGTGATAAACCTCGTGGATGGTGGAAAGTTGAGCAAAGTATGATCGAGTTCATGCATTGTCCACAAATAAAGCCCTACCAATTTTCCACTTCAAGGTTTATTAAGATCCCCTGACAAGGTTTATGTTTTTGTTTATGCATCTGCTTCTTATAGAAAAACTTTATGATAAAATTACTTAATTATATTCACACTAAAGTTTAACGTTGACGCACCACGCGTCACACTAGCATTAAGAAAACATTAACGAGATGTCAAGTAGAATGTATTGAAAAAAAAAATAAAAAAAATTGAACACGATAATAAAGATTTTAAAACACTTCTATTCCTTAATTATATTCACACTGACCTACCAAAAGCGAAGTTTCAAGTTAAGATATGCGATCTGATTTTTACTGTCCATTCAATTAATTATCGACAAATCATTTTAAATTAATATATCCAACTTTTATCTCACTACTCCTTATGTTTAAAATAAGTGATATTTTAATGTAAAATGATATGTCAATAGGAAAAGTCTACATGTACATAATTATTGCACATAATGTTGTCTATAATGTGATGTGTCAATCATTCGGTTGTTGATGTGAAAGTGTGAGATTTGAATTAACAATTTGATTCAGTGCTACATGTAATTATGGACATCATTATGTAAACAATTATGTACATGTAGCACTTCTCATGCCAATAATGAATTGGTGGACAACAAATTTCAACTCCAATGTTTCAACGAGTCGATGTAGACTGGCAAGTTATCAAAAAGTTGATGGGCTTGAGACGGGTTAGGGTAATATGGATCCAAACAATTCACGGTCTTGTTTTTCCCGGGTAACAGATATTCGGCCCAATCTGTGAACCCATCTTAGAAGGCCCACTTACTTGGGCCTGGTAAACGACGTCGGATTCAATTCACTAATATCAAGTTTACGAGGACCTCATTCGATTTTTCTCTCTATTCTCTCTTCTTACGACGTCGATCAATCGAGCGTTGTCGATTTTCCTGTAGCACCGCTGATATCGGGTAATTTATTTATTTTGATATAATTCTTTTAATGCTTTCTGCTTTCTGAAAATTCGCTCAATGCACGTTTTGAGGTTGTTTAAAGTGTTAATTTCTTTTATTTTTTTGCTACGAAAATCAAATTACTGGCTATATATTGTTTATTGAACTGAACGAGATTGGGATTTGCAAGTAAACATATGATATCGAATGAAATGAATTAAGCTGCTCGAAAACCTTTTTGTTTTATTTTGGTTCATTTATTTAGTTTAAGAATCTAGCATTTTCGAATAAATATAGCCTACTGTTAACTCGTTATATTATTATCTGCAACGGTGTGGGCCTCAAGAATAAATATAGCCTACTGTTAACTCGTTATATTATTATCTGCAACGGTGTGGGCTTCAAACCCTTTGAGGCCAATCTCTTTGATACTCGGCATCACTTTTAACTCGTACGAGCTTGTAAAGATTAGATATATCATATATCGTTGTCATAGTTAGGATTGAATGGGGTTTGTCTGTCAGTATTGCATGTGTTAATGATTCACGGAGTTAAGCAGGGGCTGAAATATTGCTGAGTAGAGTTTGAACACTTAATGAGTGACTTAACATGGCTTGTTCTTCTTTAATCATCAATTCACCCCCCCCCCCCCCCCCCTGTTGAGGCTGCAGGGTTGGCAGGATTATGTTCATTTCTAAATTTTCTCGGCTAGGAGCTCATGCAATCAAGAATCTGGTAAAAGGTGTGTTCTTTATGTTTTTGGTATAATTTTTTGTTTACTAATTGATAATTAAAAATTTCTCTTTCATTTAAAAGTCTATGTTATTCTTAGTAAATTGCGCATAGAACCTAAAGTATCAGGGAATTCAGTCCAAACATAAGCGGCAGATACAAAGTAGTACTGTTGATAATTCATTTGAGCTCTTCTCTCAGCTTTTGTTCACCATTTGGAAAAACAAACTGGGGATACTGATGAATGATGTAGGCCTCATCTTAGTTGTAAGATTCTGAATTTTTATGATATGAATAATACTGGGAAGTTTTTAGTAAAGGCGAGTGGTTATTATTATTATTTATTTGATAACCATAATAAACTAAATGGGAACTAGGGGGCTGCTAGCACACTGTCGAAGAACTCTATAATGCATGCATTCAACAGAACCAAAAGCTCTCTGGGAAATGTTTGCTACCCCATCCCTGTTCCTGATAACAAAGGTGTTAGAAAATTCTGTATTTAGTTTCTGTTCTGCATCGTCTTTCCATGAGAACTCTCCTACTCCATTCCTTACATGTCTCTGAAAGATGCATAAATAAACGGAGCAGTCTCAAATTCCTCCTATATTGATCAAACTCAGAGATGTGAAGGAAAATCTATCCGACACCTAATGGCACTGGTCATGTAACTCGTCACCTTGCTGGACTTCATGTGCGGGTTAGGTGTTTGAAGTGTGTGTGGTTTCTCAGTTTTTCTTAATGAAATAGATAACTGAGACACTGGCGACGGGAAAGAAGGGGAGGAAAGGAAAGGAGCAATATGCTTTCTTGTTATTGGTCAGAATATATTTCTCATAGCATTCCTAATGATGGCAACATGTAAAATGATTTTCTGACGACCTATTTGCAGAAAAGAAAACATGTTCATGGCATACTTAAAGCTGAACTTTTTTATTTGAAGAAACTTTATTCCATCGCTTGTGCTTATTGCCTTCTGTTGCATTGCAGCTCCATCTTTTACTCCAAGGACATCGTACCTGCCCGTGGTTCATAATCATTTTTTGCGAACCCTGGTTAGTATCTTCATAACTCCAATAGTATGCTGATCAGTTGCAGAAATCATATTGGTCTATAAACTCCAATATTATGCTAGTTGCAGCATTCATATTGCCAAGATGACATGACAGACAAGATATGCTTTTACCTGTCAAGGCTGATCTAGTATATTCTTCCGTGGGGTTAAGCTAGATATTTTGAAGTTCAAACTAAGTCTTAATGCATCAACTATAACAAAAAGGGGAATGTAAGGTGGGTGAGGCCCTGCACCTGTAATTTCTGTGCTAAGGATTATATTAATCAAAGTGCCAGCAGTGAAAGCCTTAATGCCCGTCATATTTGACAATCAGGCACATTGAATGAACAAAAGAAGTAAGCTAACATGCCACACACAGACGCATCCTCACTATTTAAAACTAAAATGATAACAACGAAGGTGGTAAAGGACATAGAAGTAATTATTATGCCATTTTATATTAATTCTTTGTTTTATTACTCCCTGCCCCCCCTACCTTTTTTTTTTTTTTTTTTTTTTTGGGGGGTTGGGGTTGCTCTGATAATTTTTTCCTCTGGTCTTGTGGATAATCTTTATCTCTCCTCCTGTTTTCAGAGGCAAGAACCATTTTGCACTGCAGTTGAGAAGAATGCAGATGAAGGCAGTGAAGAAAAGCAAAAGTAAGCACTCTAAGGGTGTCTTCTATGTATGTCTGTTTTTTCGGTTTTTCCTTCTTCCCAGAGGATAGTCAAGTTCTGGAAACAGTTCATAAGGTTATGTACTTAGGAAACTTGCTTGGCATAGCCATGGTGAAAGAAAAGTTGAAAGAATCTGAACTGGGTAAAACCCAGATTGAGTTGTAGCACTAAGGGAAATAACCAAGTCTATCTAGCTGATCTTGCATAGTATTGTTAGCTTATTGAGAAAAGCTTGGTGTTTTAGCACGCATGCCGATGTAAAATCCTATGAAAAGGTGTTCTGGACAATTAAGTCCTACTTTTCCAAAAATACTTCTGGAGAAGTCCCAATCTGTGCATAATAACTGCTAAATCTAGTTAAATCTGCTACACCTTGATTTGGAGGGAATATCAGAATATTGGTAGAGGGAGTAAAACTTGGGATGGAAAGAACAATGTTTAATGGAACACGAAGTTTTAGGTGGTAAAACTTTGGGGGTCTATCTCCATAGCTGATGCTCCAGATTCTTAAGTGGTTGAAAAATTATGTTCTTTTTGTTTGCTTTAAATTTAGATGATGGCTTCCCTTTAGAACTTATATGCATATTGTATAAGTTTATAAAGAAACAGGTCCTGGCATGGGGTGATTTTTTATGTTTAAGATCTCCTTTTTGGATAAAATTTACTTGAATTGCACACTTTAATTATTGTGTTGGTCTCCATTTTGCCAATTCAAGTTGTTGAACCAGCAACTATAACTGCTAATAGATAATCCAGCAGTATTGGTTTAAACCACTTGCAATTCAATGTAGTTAGGTTCTTTGGTATATTTTTGAATTCTGAGGTATGGATGAAGCAAACACATGGATGACGACCAGAATTTTTGAATGTTCTTTTATATCTTTTCCTGTTGGACTGCAGAATATCAGTAACATTTGTAGACAAGGATGGAGAAGAGAAGCATATCAAGGTCCCTGTTGGCACGTCGATGTTAGAAGCTGCACACGAGAATGATGTAGAGCTTGAAGGTAAATATTACTATGTATTTTTGACTAAGCTTAAAAAAAAATGTATTAAGTTACTTTTCGATTCACTTTCTATTTACAACATGTTTGTAAATATTGATTTCTTTCTTACTTTTAACTAAAAGAAAAAGTTACTTAGATAACTCTCGAATAAGTAACTCTTTAAAAATTTACTATTTCACTTATAATAATGAATGTTAAGCTTAGCCAAACATGCTGGTGCTATCTCCGTTTTGCACTTCCTGCTACATTTCTCTTCTTTTCAGGTGGATTTTTGGAACAAATTTCAGCTATATTTTGTAATGGAGTAGTAGTTCAATCAATTTTTCTTGAGTTAGCAGTGACGTGTTATTTGGGTCTGATGGTTATATTGTGGATGCAATTTCATAAAATTTCCGCATAGATTTTTCTTGAATATTATTTAGCCCCCGTTTGGCCTCAATTTTTTCCAAATTTTAATGTTCGAAATAGTGTTTTTTTTTGAAGAATGTGTAGTTGAAAAAGAATGAAAATTTATTGATTTACGTGTAATATTATTTTATGGAAGATTATGTGGTTGAAAATAAGAGAGGAAAAAAATGAAAGAGAATGGGGGCCAAACGGGGGCTCCCCATTTTTTGAAATGAAAATTGGTGAAATAGTGTTTTTTTGAAAAATGAGTGGTTGAAAAAGAAGGAAATTTTTTTGATTTACCTGTAATGTTATTTTATGGAAGATTATGTGGTTGAAAATACAAGAAAAAAATGAAATAGAATTTAATAGGGGCCAAACGGGGCTGAGCTGGCTAAGTTACTTGAATTTTATTGCAGGAGCATGTGAAGGATCACTTGCTTGTTCTACCTGTCATGTTATTGTGATGGTATGTAGTTGCAATTGAGACCATCTAGTTTGCAAATTATTTCATTTCCTGAATGCCCCACGCCCATTGAAGAAAAAATTGTGTCTGTTGAGAAAATGGACGACATTAAGTTTGGTATAGAGTAATGAATAATGGACATTAATAAACCATATTTCAGCTCTTTTTTCTTCGATACCAAACGTGTGATGACGTTTGATGCTTTTTGATAGGATGTAGACTACTACAACAAACTAGAAGATCCAACCGATGAGGAGAATGATATGTTAGATCTTGCTTTTGGCCTCAGTGAGACGTACGTCCTTTGTTTATTTTTATTTTTATTTTTTCAAGGGAGTAAACCATTCCATGATTTTCTAGCCTCGTCAGTTACTTAAATGTATTCAACGATACTCTGTAGGTCTCGTTTGGGTTGTCAAATAATAGCAAAACCTGAAATAGATGGAATTCGGTTGGCACTTCCTGCTGCAACACGAAACTTTGCTGTCGATGGATATAAGCCTAAACCTCATTAGATCATTCTTCATGCAAAAACATGAAGAAAAGATGCGCGTTTGAATCAGTTTTGTAGTGTATCCAGCATAGAGAATCGAGGGTTCTGAATGCTTTTTTTATGATTTGTATGATTATTAGTTTTAAATTTTTGTTGGTCTACTTAAATGTTCTTATCCTAGCTGTTTTGGTTTTAGATGATCGATGAATTTGATTACAGTGATATAATTAAAACACAAAATTCTTCTGTTCCAAAAATTAAGATCGATCACCATTTCATACCTCTGCAATGCTATTTTTATACTTCCTTCGTCCTATAAGGAATTTTTTTTTTTTAAAGTAGATTATGAAAAATGATTAACATAGCTGTAAAATATAAGGGTGTGTTTAATTTGCGTTTCCTTTTTTTGTTTTTTGTTTTGAATTCATTTTTAGTTTTCTATTTTAAGGGACTATATTCGAATTATAGAAAATGTGTGTGGTTTGTCATTTTGAAAAACGGTTTCTCAAAACAGAAAACTAGAAAATGCGTTTGGTTTAAAATTTTTAGAAATTGTTTTATGACATTTATTCAATTAATTTGATTATTTAGTAAAACATAATAGTTTTATGTTAATATATCACCAGATAATATTTATTTAAACTCGGTGAATTCACTATTTTTTCATGCTAAAAAATAAAATAATAAAATTTTAGAAATTATTTTATGACATTTATTTAATTAATTTGATTATTTAGTAAAATATAATACTTTTATGTTAATATATCACTAGATAATATGAATTTAAAGTTGGTGAATTTACTATTTTTTCTTGCTATAAAAATAAAATAATGAATTTTTAAAAATTGTTTAATAACATTTATTCAATTAATTTGATTATTTAGTAAAACATAATAATTTCATGCTAATACATTACAAGATAATATATATTTTAAACTTGATGAATTTAATATTTTTTTTTGCTACAAAAATAAAATAATAAATTTCTAGAAATTTTTTATGACATTTATTCAATTAATTTGATTATTTAGTAAAATATAATAATTTTATGCTAATATATTATCAAATAATTTATATTTTAAATTTGGTGAATTTACTATTTTAAAAGTGGGTAAAAGAAAGGCATGTTTTGAGTGTTTTATGCGTTTCGAGTTTTTTAACTGAAAACACTCAAAACGAAAAATATATATTTATATATTTTTTATGTTTTAAATTATAATTTTTTCCTTATTTTCAAAAATGCATTTTCGAAAATGAGTGACCAAATATGTTTTAGGCATTTTTGAAAACTAAAAATAGAAAACGGCTAAACAAACGCTCCCTAAATTTTTCTTACATTTAAAATACCCTTATATTAAATAATGATTTAAATAGGAATATTTCATATTTGTTAATAACAAGATAAATTAAATAAAAATATATAAGAAAATTAAAGAATTTACTCAATAAGAAAAGTAGTTTCTAATTGGAGATAGACGATGAAAAAAAAGAAAAAAAACAAAGTATAAATGGATGATGTAGTAAAATAAGGCTCTTTCCACCCAATAAACTCACATCTCGGTCAGATGAGTCACAAATTTACATTATGCCCTCGTTTAACTTCGTTGCTTTTAAACTCTCTATCATTTTTATTTTAATACTTATTTTCAATAATACATTCTTTCAACAATATAATTTTACACATGAATCTAAAATATTATACTTTTAAATTACACATTTTTCAAAAATCAATATTTTAAAATCTATTTTTTCAACACAAACACAAAAACATAATAAAGTGTAAGTACAACAAGAAAATTACATCTATAAATAAATCATTAAGAGCCTGTTTGATGTCCATTAATTTATTTTATGATTTGTTATAGGATCATTTTCAATCACACATTTACACAATAAAATATTCTACACTTTAACAAAAATATTTTCCTACTTTCTAATAATACATTCTCTCAAAAATCACTATTTATTTATTTATTATTATTATTTTTACAATAATGATGGTCAAACAAGCTCTAACAAATGGTTCACAAATATAAGAAGCCAATTGGATCAATCCCGAAAGGCCATAAAAAGATTTAACAGTGGGGTGCGCCAAGGCCCGTGCAGTAATGCAAGGCACGAAGGCCCAAGCAGCAGGCGACATTTGCAGGCCTTCCCTTTAAAAAAATAAATTTAAGGGAAAAAAATCACAAAGTCAGGTATTAAACCCTTGTTTGATCCACATTATTTTAAAAATTCATTTTTAATTATATATTTTTTATCAATCTACTATTCAAAATGCCATACAACAATGTGACGGGCTTGATAATATAAATTCTCGGTTTGTTTGTGTCAGGAAAGCATCGAAACTGAGATTCTTGCTTTTTTTCCTAATAATAGTACTAGTAATTTGGATGATAAATGAGTGGAGGGAAATTATGGCAGAAGAAATTGTCGTACATGTA